TCCCCCTTTTGTCATCAACTTTTCCTTTCAGAACAGCCTGATCAAAACCGGAGCTGAGGAATCTGTGACGATGCTCTCCTGGAGCTGCGTTCACAAAACGGGGAGACTCCTTTAGATCTCAGAATAACTTTATACATGCAAAATTTCCATAATAGATTTTAAAAACAACTTAAGAATCTACCCTTCCCACCCCTCCATTCCCCAAAGGCAGCAAAAAGTCTGAAGACAGAACTGAAACATGGCTTTAAAAAACAGCCCACAGACATTAGGTTTCACTTCCCAGAAACCAACTTCCAGCATGGGATTCACAGGAAGACACCCTCCTTTCTGTGGCTAAGGGGGAAGGTGAGGCACGTGGAAGAAAGAAGGGGTAGGGGATGTCAGACTGCATTCAGTTTAAGAACACACACACACGCACGCACACGCACACAATTACATTCCAGTGCATTTGATGTGTTTGGTCTTTTCTGCTTTTCCTGGTGGAGAAGAACCGAGCTGTGTAACACCTGCGTGAACACATGCAAACCAAAGAAACAGAGACCACTGAAGTCTTTAGGAACTGTAAAAGATTGTCCTAGAATCTTTTATCAGTTCCTTGAGGTATTTCTTCTTGCTAAAACAAAGGCAACAGGTAGGCATTTTTGCAAATGATCACAAATGCCAGTTTGAAAGACAGACTCTTTGGAAGGACATTATTAAAAACGTTTGTTGTCAAATTATGCTAATAGTCAACAGTACTTGGTCCATGTGCAGAGCTCCTGTGAATATGAACCGACATTCCATGGCCCTTTTACTTAATAATCCTGCAGTAAATATCGCTGGCAAAACAAGGCAAGGCCTCCACATATCTGCATTCTTGTTTGATCCTAGCATATACGCTGAGTGCTCTCCCTATTTTTCCCTTTAAAAATACCCTCAATAGTACACCATCCAGCATGTCAACAGCCTCACCATTCCCACAGCTTCAGCAGAAATACAGGTCAGGACCAGCAGCGAAAGGGTGGAATTCATTGTAGAGTTGATGGGGTCACATTGCAACAACTGCCTCAAGTAATTTTGCTTTTTCTCAAAAAAACCCAACACTTCTCCCTACTCTACGAATGGGCAGAGTCTGCAGCTTCCCAGAAGAGTGCCAAGCCCCACGCTGAATGAAGTTCAGCCTTGGGCATGGCTCCAGTGACTGCTACGTAGCAACTCCAGCAGCGTTGTAACCTCAGATGCACACACTGCCTATACCTTTAATCCAGGCTTGAGGGGACAAAGTAAATGGCCAGTAGAAAGAAAGATGTCTTTGCAATCACCCTTTCTACATCAAGAACTGTGTTCCTTGCCTCTATTCCGTTGTTGATACACAGCTCCGAAGTTTCTTTCGGGATTCCTCTAATGAGAGTTTAGCCAACAAAGATTTAATGACAACCAGCCTTTTAAACCAAGATATGTGATCAGTCATGCAGGAATTCAGTGCTACCAGGGATTATCAGCACCTTGGGAGAAGGCTGCAGTCCCACACACAGATCCAACGGCAACTCTTTCCGTGCAAATCCATCCTCTCCCCTGCCTTTGTTGTATCCCATTTAAGGCAGTTTGCAGCTATCCCTGGGCAGTCACTTTGTGATTACTGGCTCAGCTTTCAAGAATTGCAGGAAACAAAAGTAAAACTAACTATTCCCTACTAGCACCAGGCTTGCTGGATCCAGGGATGGGCAGGTTACAAGATCTTTGAAAGGGTGGGAATTTGGGAAGGGACAGGAAGAACTCTGTCCCTCAAGGAAAGAGAGCTGAGGTCTGAAGCCATTTTGGAGATCTGGGGAAGGCAAGCAAGATACTTCAAGCCTGCTGGTACCATCAGCAGCAGCTCAAGCGCTTCTTAACAACGGCTCATTAAAAACAGGAATTTGTTTTAGGAGAAAGATCCAACTGTTCTTTCTAAATTTAGACAGTAGTTTTACAACACAGAGAGAAACAGCATCCCATTCCTTTCACCAAGACAAATTAATAACTAAAAATCCAAGCATACTCCTTCACCAACAGGACTCAAACCACGTTCCTTGGAACTGTTTCCACAAACAACCGACGTATGTCCTTGGCCACACTGCAATAGCTGCTCTGCAGGGAAGATCTCCTCAGTGTGTTCCCAAGGGGCCTTACTAACATGGAACGGGGGACAAATACACGGGTGCTGTGCATCTGCGTGTTTGTTGATAAACGTGTGAAATCTTCCCACAATTTCCTCAAGTAGGTGAGACTGTAAGTGTAAGTAGCTGCTTTTCCCTAAGTGACTAATCAGCCTGCGCCCCCAAATCTACACGAAGCAAAATAAGACTTATGGGTTGACACAGCATATTTCCTTTCTCCAAGATATGCAGATATGGAATATAATTAAAATATATTATCGGTGGTTGTAAATCTCTGGCACCAGCAACCAACACTCATATTGCAGGAAGTCGGCCTTTGTCTAGCATTAGCTCTATGTCTCCAATGAAGTATTGTTGTTCAAGGCAATTTTAACTTGAGACCCTGGCATGACCAATTTTGATAAGTCTGTTGTTACAGCGGGAAATACGGACTGGCAAAGATGTGTCTTTCCCTGAGCCAAGTGACTCTACTGGGGCAGGCAGCCTGACTGAGGAAGAGTTTCAGATACTTGCTTCTCCATGTTAAGAAGCTTCTTACCCTAGATAAACTTCTCGGGTCGCAACACCAGAAAGCGCCAGTACCAGACCTATCTTTCCTGCATACACATCCAGAGAACAGGCATCACTGGCCTGTTTGGCAGTCAAGTGAAGGCAGAGGCCAAGGGGAAAGCTCATGATGGTTTTTAAGTGTCAGATGCACTTGCTGAATTTTTCGTAATTTGCAGGGCTGTTGTGATGTAGCTTTGACTGCTCCTGACAAAGGGGTCCTGGCAACCAGTGGGAGAATGCAAGCATCACATCCTAGCGCATGCCGTGCGGGCAGCCAGCATTGCCGCGTTCCTTCCTGAGCCTCAGCACTTCTGCTCCTGTCTCTTTAAAAGCTTCTGATTTAAGCGTCTTCTCCATAACATCCAGCTTCTCAGGGGTCCCCAGTTCAGTCTGTGCTTGCACTACCGCTCAGGTTCTCCCCCCCATTGAAGCCCTCGTTCTCCAATGACCAGCATCTACTCCAAGCAGACTGTGCAAAGCAAGGTATGGAAAGCCTCATCTCTGCCAGCATGGGCAGAGAGTGGCTTCCCATACTGCTGCAGCATAGTCAGCAACAGCTATCACTTGCATCCCTCTGGGTAACTCTGTAGTGCACATGCTTAAAGAAACAACACAAACCCCAAAACAATTCTCCCTCCCAAAAAAACCTCCCGCCCTCCCTCTCCATAAAACTCACCCCCCAAAATATTACTTGAGATTCATTTATATGAATTATTAACCATCACAGACAAACTCTAGCTCTAGCTAGAAAAATAACATAAAAGGAGAAAAAAAAGCTTTTCTCACATAAACTCTCCTTACGTTGAGAGTGACTGTGAATATATGAAAGTGAAAGAGGCTTGGGGACCTCTTTCAGGGAGCTAAATCACATTTTGCCACAGTAGAGCAGGATGCAAATCAAGAAAATGGGGCTGGGAGAGAGGGAGAAAGTCCAGATTTAACCGTGTTCAGCAAACTGTTACCAGACACTACAGTGCAATGATGAGATTATACAACTACCAGAGAAAGCATGAATTAGGGCAGGATAAGCAGAGAAGGGTGGAGGAGAAAGCATATGTGCAAGTAAGCTACTCTTCCCGTACAGTAATGCTTATTTTTCAGCGTGGACCAAGAGCAGAAGAATTCCTCAATGCCTGAGTTGATGTCTGTAACAGGACTGAAGAGCAATTCTCTGGACAGCTCTTCCTCATGCTGGTTGTTATCATTTGAGACCTACAACAAGGTGCAGTGGCAATACGGAAATGGTCTGAAGTAAGTGAAGTCTGCATTACTTTTCTGTTTGCGTCTCACCCTAGTTGTCACTGGGTTTGCGAACTAACGGTATTTAAGGCTACAGAGAAGTAGCCATCGATATTTAAGGTTACTTCCTTTTGATAGGGTAATTTCCCCATGCTGGTCCAATAGTGTCAGTCATCTGGACAAACTTCTGAGTGCATACAATCTGGGAACTGTTAGATCACCCTTGAAGTAATATTACTGCTGCTAGGCAATATATGCCTACAGCAGCTTCCAAAAATTACATACTAGGGTAACGGACAGACTGCTTGTACAGTGTACATGTCAGACTAGCTGCTAATTAATTTCCCTGTCAAATCTTGAAGCAAAACTATTGGATGCCTGGGACCTAAGCCTTCCTGACCAACCACATTATAGTAAGAGAAAAGAAAAACAAAACAAAATAATCACCCATCATAAAACTAATAAACCCATATACATTAGCATTGTAGAAGAATGACGCTTGTGTCATATTCCAAGGTCTTTGGCTTCATGCTGGCTCACGGGCACTGTGAACACTGAACTGGAAGCAAACAGTGGCAGAAACTAGTAGGCACCAGCAACCCCAAGAAGGTTTAATTTTAAGACTGTTCTACTGAAATGACTTTATCTACTGATGGCAATGACAAACAACTTCATGTGAGAGCTGCAACTGGTGCACGTTAGAAGGATTGAAAAGATCAGATTTCTTGGAGATCTTCTCTCACACAGGGTGCAAGGAAATAAACAGTAACCCAGAATGCAGAAAACCAGTAACCTGAGGGATATAAGCTACTCGAACGTTTTCACTGCTAAAAAGAACTTTCTCTGTGGAGGAATCGAGCAACTCTGTTCTGGAAGATACCCAAAGTACGTTTAGATTCATCAATCCCAGACATCATTTTTAACTAGCAGCCAAAATGACACTCCTGCACTCTACCACTGACTAACACTAACAGGGCAGAGGAAGCCGTTAGTCTAATACCTGCCTCCCTTGTACAGAGGTCACCAGCGCGGGGAACCAGCAGCAAGCTTTACCAAACACACCCACACTCTGGCTTTCCTTTGACAGTGTTGGACAAGAGCTCCCTGCCTCGCGCGGCAGGCAGTAGCTAAGAAGAGTCCGTAAAAAAACCCCAAACTTGAAGACGAGTATCAGAAATCCAGAGTCCTCACATCCGGCCGGCGGTGTGCAATGTCTCGCCCCCGAACCAGTGTTTGTTCAGTGCTCCCTGCAGACTGGATGCGGCCTGAAACAGGCGGGTGAAGCTCACCTCTGCCCAGTGTGGTTCCTGTTCGCCTCCGCGTTTAAGGCCAAGTTGTGTAGGAAGAGAAAAAGCTGCCACCACACTTGATTTCTGTTCTGCTGATGCTGTAGAGGAGAACAGTTGAAGCAAGGTTATTTATATTTCTAAAATTGCAACATACCACTTCTCTTTTCCAATAACAACTCAGTTACACTTTTCAAGAGCAGACACTTTAATCCCATCAGCATAACAAGGGGGTGCAGCAAGGGATGAGGGGAGAGAGGGAAACGATAAGTTCTCCAGAAATAATTGTAGCTCTAACATTACAAAAAGAAAAGAGCAGACCCTTTATGCATTGTGCACAAGAGGATTAAACTTTTTTTTTTTTGCTTGTAGGATTTTCCAAGTGGTGTTTTTAATCAGATTGGCTTCTGAGCCTTTCAAAAGCCCCAGCTGCATGAACAAACAACCTTTTTTTTTTTTTTTAAAAAAAAGCCCCCCTTCCCCCCAAAAGTAAAAAAAAAGAAAAAATATAACTGGTGATCCATCTGTAAGTGATTTGACACCGTGAAGGTCAAAGGGTTAATCTTCAATTTAAACCACACTGCTGAGACAGCAAAACTCTGATTTCATCTAGTACAAGAAAACACATTCGTGCACACACACACTCCCCCACCCTCCCCCCACCACATTTTCCTTCCCAGCATCTCCAAGATAATACTGCCCTTTTTATAGCCACTTTTGACAGTAAGCCATAAATAATCAGCCTTGGAGCCCTTTCCTACTGACTGGAGCCAATTAAACCTTAAGCAAGAACATACTTGAAAACACACAAAAAACCAAAACCAAGAGGTTATTTCAGGTCCCATTGTCAAGGAAGAAACATGGGAGTTGAGTTTCAGGGGGACACCAGACTATATAATGCAGCTTTGGGGCAGGGACACTGTTCCTTCTTTTGTTATATGTAATCACCCCTGCAAAAGTGGCTCCGATTATACCCCCACCTTCCCGCACTTTAATGGCATCTCATACAAACAGGTGGGTTTCTCTTTACATTGCCCAGCCTGGGATACTATTTCACCTCAATAACCAGCCCTCTATTAGAAGTCAGTCTTTGTTTTCTCATCCCAAATTCCATATTTGCTAAGCAGGACTGACCATTTCTGGAAAACAAAACAAATCAGCCCCGATCTCCCCCCACCCCCAATCCCCAGCAGACATGGAAACAGAAGACTGGCCTCCAACAACTTTGCCTCAGCACAGAGGAGTTCATAAAAAGAGCACTAAAGCACATTACATGAACAAGATGTTTTGACTCAGATTAGCCCAACAGGGCAGAACAACACGGTGGCAAGACATTCTTTATGTAATCACAAATAAGAGAGAGTTGCAACCGGAGTTGGTGTATTGGAAATGCGTCAAGAGACAGCTCTTCAAAGTCCTCTCAAATAGCCATTAAATTGCTTTCGTATTTCAGTGTGAGTAGATCTGTGCCATTTGAATCACTAGTACACACAAAATGGTTCAGAAACCCTGTGTTCATCTCATATCTTAGCAGTGGCTCATTCTTCTTACCCTCAAGCCTTAACAGTTGTCTCCTCGATTTAGAAGAGTTCACACAGACCCCATCACACATTTCCACACCACTGTGTTTGGAGCATAACCCACAGGCAGCGACTGTCGAGCCTGGTATCATTTATTTCAAAGCCCTGGGTTCAGTCCGTACTGATTGTCCAGGCATTGCTAAGTTTACAGGTGAAAACAATCTTTTATAAACTTATCCTCCAGGGCTGGGTTACAAAAACCTAATCTGGCCTCAAAAACCAAGATGCTTCTTGTTTTGTTAGTCACCTCTTGGTTTGACCAGGCTTGTCCTTCAAACTCCAGAGATTCTTCTCACGCTTCTCCATAGAGCCACACTCCCAAACCCGCTCAATGTCCCGATGACCTCTAGATACCACGTTTTTATCAAGCTACTGCAGCTTAAGTGGACTGCTCTTCAAGCAGAGGTCTTCAGGTAGCATGTCATTGAAGCAGCATGCAAGCACAATGCCGGCTTCTGCAGTTTCCACAAGTAGGGAACTATGCTAGGAGAGCACGGTGGACAAACATACTACAGATGCTTTGGAGAAAATCTGCTTTGGCTGATTACTTTATTCTATTGGCAGCCAAGAGGGTAAAGAAGTGTCTTATGGGAACTTAGTATGGGAAATGCAAAAGGATGTTTAAAAATTGGTATTGAAATCCTAAACTTGAAATATATCTCAGCTTCACTGGTGGGCCCTCTTCAATGGAAACTCTCATGGGATCTTACAAAGCGGGTTAATCAGAGGGCAGACAAGAGGAGGTGTGCTGACCCAGCACATGCAATTTCAACTATTGCAAACCATCAGGAGAACAAACACTTGCAAGGATCCCCGTGTTTATGTCCCGCTCCGTGTAGGAGGCTGCTTTGTGCTTCTCACACACCATAAGAGGTTTCTACATATTCCGTCTCCTTCTTAAGGTTTACATGTCACCTCAGAAGCAAAGGATTACTTGTGATAGGTAAAGGAGGCCACGTTCAGGGAAAACAGTGGAAGGACTGAGCTCATTCTCCTCCCTCTTTTTTGAAGGTGGGGAGCTTTTTGAGGAAGGTATTGGGTTTTGTTTTTATTTGGTAAAAGAGTTTTAGAGCTCTACTTTAAGAAGGGTTACAGACCTGCAAGAGAACCAGTGGGATGTGGTATCACAAATACTGAGAAAAACTCTAATATTTTTTTTAGTATTGTGTTTATTTCACTGCCTTTTGAAGCCACTTTTTTGGCACAGCACTTTTGTCCTTCTCTAGTTAAAAATGTTTCCCACTATTTGCCTAAGACACCAAGGACATTTCCATGCAAGAGCAGAACAGAATTATTTTACCCTTGTTTCACCCTGCTTATAAGAAGCCTATGATCTTAAATCACTTTATGCAGGACGTTGACACCATTAATTTTGTTCTGAAGCGGAAAAAATAGAGCACTAGGCCGAGGGCAGCTTTCCAGGTTTTATTGCTAGTCCTAGGGCTTGCATTTCCCTGGGTCCGTATTCAGCCAGCATTTCCTCCCACAGTGGTGCAGTCCCACACACGCTTTCACTGGCTTGCGTACTGCAGCAGCCTGCTCGCACTGTCCTCTCCTCACCCTACCGCAGGAAAGTCGACTGGAGCAGGACAGTGATCAAGGCCAGAACTAATCCGATAAAGAAGTTGCCTTTACTATTGATCAGGTCACCCTAACCCCTCTGTTCCACGGCATCATGTAGCCAAGCTGATGCTCACGCCAGCACAACAGAAAGGTGACCCAAGAAGAGGAGCAAGCTGGGAACACTTGCTTCAGCACCAAGCCTGGCTAACGGGGGTTACAGAGTTTGTTACGGCTTCCCTTCTGGGCTGATCTGCTTTCTGTGGTACTAATTCAGCACGGGACAAGAGCCACAGCATGGAAATGGCAGATATTCCTTGCAGCAGAGATAGAGTAAACAATTTATGGAAAGAACTGTGCCGGCCTAAAAAATGTCCTTTTCACAAGTTTCAGTAGCTTTTCCCTAGATTGGCCTCTGCCAAGACCAAATAATCAAATATTTCAAGACTGTGGGTTTTTTGGTGTGGTATAATCTAGCTGCCAGGAAGGACAGCAAACCCAGGAGAGTGACTCCATGAATTTGGCATCTCATTTTTTCAGATGCGGTATGTTTCAAGCAAATTTTTACAGTTTTCTAAGATTCATAACTATCATGACACAGGTTTATAATTTTCCTAAGCTTCAGTATTGTCCCTCATCAAAACAATTCAATGCTCAGAGTCACTACTGCACAAAAGTATCAGGGATGAACACTTTGCCACCTCCATGCAGTAGCAACACAATGAACATTTTGATGCTCCTTTCCCAAGATGGAAAGAAGCTCCTTTTGCCCTCTATACTAACTGTAACTAATGACTAGACTTGTGAATACAGTAAGTCAACACAAAGCTGGAAACACATAAAACCATTTCCTATTGCAGCTGCTGCTTTTTAAAGGGGATATCCTTAAGAGACTGTCTGTCTGAGGCGTTAGCATGCATGCTTCAATGAGTCACAAGGAAAGGCCATTTTACAGGAAAAGTGTCCTCTGCAGCAACAGTACATTAGTGAAGCCTATCCCATGAACTGTGCTGAACCAAACGCCAGAATAGCTGGTAAACAAACACAAAAAACCAGCAAGACTTTTACTGGAAGCAAATGAAAGAGGGACATGATTGACCCGCCATTTATTCCCTTGCTGTAATTAATTCCTAATACGTGTTTCACACTGTAAGCATACAGATATGTATCTGTCAAATAGCACCCCAGACGTCAAAAGCTTTTTATTCCTACCAAGCCCTTGCACCGGGTGATAAAGGGAAGATCAGGACAGGTAATACACCTCGAAGAAAATGTTGTCCCTCTGACACAGCTCATTGAATCCTTGAGGATAAATGTTTAACAGATGAATTGGATTAACTTTTCCACCCGATACATACACGCCATTAATATCCCTCCTTAAAAAATAAGAAAAGAATATGTTCATCATATACGCATGTCGTAGGTGGGTCTGTTACGTTCCTACCACATATACAGAAGGGTACACCTGTCTGCCCTCTTGATCTCATGGGCAACTTCTGACTTTGCTTCATGGCCTCCAGATGGTTAAGGGTCAAATTCCGATCCCATCTGAACTAGGAGGATTAAAATATGGCCATAAATGGCACTGTTAGAGCAAAAGAAGAAGAATGGCATATGTGTACATAAAAACACCATTCTTCCTTTAATGACTAATACAAGTATTAGCAATAAGTTGTTGGGATTTTATTTATTCACTGAAAACAAAAATACTTGCACACCGGGAGCAGTTGCTGACTCATCGCTGAAGGCTGTTTTGGCTGCCAGGTGTCTGGAGGCATATTGTGCTACCACAAAATATGCTTTAGCTAAGAAAGACTAGAAAGTCACAGTCCCCAAGGCAACAGAGGTTACAGGAGGTTTCTCCCGCTGGAGAGAGAAATGCAGGCCAATGGAAGTCAAATACAAATCTTTCCAGCTGTGATTCCTAATGACCAAAGAATAATGCATGTGTAAAAGCAGCA